ACCACATCAGGACTCCATGTTATTAATTTGTTGTTGTTATTAAGTGCCATCGAGTTGATTCTGACCCATAGCAACCATGTATAGGCACAGCTGGTGAACTTGAACCACAGACCTTGCAGTCTGATGCATTAGCCCACAGCACCACACCAGGACTCCATGTGATTAACTGTTGTGAAGTACTGTGGAGTCGGTTCCAACTCATAGTGACCCTGCACAGGGTTTCCATGGCTGTAAATCTTTATGGGAGCAGAAACCTCATCTTTCTCCCGCAGAACAGCTGGTAGTTTCGAACTGCTGACCTTGAGGTTAGCAGCCCGATTTGTAACCACTACGCTACCGGAGCTCCTTTATTTATGTTATTAATGTTATTGTTATATACTGTGGAGATGGTTCCTACTCAGCGACCCTGCACAGGGTTTCCAGGGCTGTAAATCTTTATGGAAGCAGAAAACCTCATCTTTCTCCCGCAGAACAGCTGGTAGTTTCGAACTGCTGACCCTGAGGTTAGCAGTCCGATTTGTAACCACTAAACTACCAGAGCTCCTTATGTTATTAATAGCACTGCTAAATTAAGAAAAACAAAAGGTCTCTGCAAATGTTAATGTTGAGAAGAGCTTTTCATTCAAATGAACACTTTAAAAAGTTCCCAAAACTTAAAGCATCGCAGCCAGTTTGCACAGAGAATTTCTAGCATTCTTGTACAAATGTAGGTTAACAGTCTCAAGTATTTTTAAGAATTATAATAACTCAAAACCGAAAATAATATCTAATATCTTATTTCTTGTGCAGGAGGGAAAATTATGTCTTACTATGATACATAAATTGTCAGTGTTAGGAACTTTCCATTGCTTCTGTGGACTTTCAAAATAATTAGGACACAGTGAGGCCAAGTCATCTGAAGTATGTGTCCAACAAGAATACTTTTATAACCTGTAAATATGAAGCATTATCATGGCTTCCAAAAATGATACATAGTTTTAACATATTTTTGGACGTGGCATATTTAAAAGTAATTTATTTTTTAGTTATGCCTAGGAACACATCTACTTGACATCATTTTCAGAGTAAAGCACTGCTTATAAAAGTCAGATCTAATTATAATAGCAGGAGAAACTCAGTGGCAGATTGCCTAGTCTACTGTATACAGACATATAGCAGCAGTTATATGTATGTCATACATAGCCAAGTTATTTATATACTTTTCTCCACATCTAATTAAAGCTAATTTTCAAAAATTAAGTAATCCACAGTAGATTTTATATTCCGTGATTTAAAAATTCCACCTTTCACATGCCTGACTCAATTCTGAAATTCCAAAATGATACACAATGTGTCTAATAACATCTACTTTTTTCAATAACCTCTTTCTTCAACTTGAACGATTTAATTTCCTGTCTGAGTGGGTTCGTCCCTGAGAGCCTCTTCCATACTTTTACTGAGCTACTGCTCATATGCACTGCGTTTCTAGCTATGGTTTCCAGCTGCACACCTTGTTGTAAATCCTATCCCCCCACATGGGCTAAAACATATACTTGTCATATAGTAAGTAAGCAGACACTCTGGGCTCCATATGGAGTCACAGGAATTTGAAAAATTCCATAGAACAGATGTGATTTATGCCCAGGGTGAAATTTGGATTAAAATAAAGCCCAAAGGAGACAAAGCCACATGCAGTACATCAACCAGACAGTTAATTGCTAAACTGTGATCTCCAAAGCGAAAAGCATAATCAGACTCTGAGTTTATCAAAATGCATAGCAACGGAAAGTATAACCTATAATTATCTTGCTATCAGGCAGTTACAATACAATGCTAGTCATTAAACAGCAAAATCTGCCTGGCAGCTGATGATTGCAAGCCTGTCTCAAAAGCACGGGCTACAAAAATAGATTCTCAAGTAGTTAAAAACTGCACTAGGTTGATAACAATAGATCCAATTTAATAATATTTATTTCAATTATTGGAGTCCTGGTGTGGCACTGCAGGATAATGTGCTGGACCACAAAGTTCATGGTTAAAACCTACTCTTCAGAAACCCTATACAGGGTCGTTACAACTCAGAACCAATTCAATGGCACAGATACAAATAGAGACATAGAATTCACATACCTTAACATACATTCTTTTAAAGTATTCCATCCAGTGATTTTTGTTATATTTTCATCATCTATTAATCATCCACAATAACAACTATTGTCATTTAGGATTTATTTATACACACACACACATATATCTATATTTTTGTTGTTGTTGTTGTTAGGTGCCATCGAGTCGGTGCTGACTCATAGCGACCCTATGCACAACAGAACGAAACACTGCCCGGTCCTGGGCCAACTCACCATTGTTGCCACGCTTGAGCCCATTGATGCTGCCACTTTGCCAATCCATCTCACTGGGGGTCTTCCTCTTTTTCTCTGACCCTCCACCTTACCAAACATGATAGCCTTCTCCAACAACTGGTCCCTCCTGACAATTATGTCTGAAGTATGAGAGACGAAGTTTGGCCATCCTTGCCTCCAAGGAGCACTCTAGCGGTAGCCCATGGCACTTTCAATATTCTCCTCCAATACCATAACTCAAAAGCATCAATTCTTCTACAGTCTTCTTTATTCACTGTCCAGCTTTCTCATGCATATGAGGTTATTGAAAATACCATGACTTGGGTCAGGTGCACCTTAGTCCTCAAGCTGATATCTTTGTTTTTCAACACTTTAATAAGGTCTTGTGCAGCAGATTTGCCTAATGAAATATGTCTTTTGATTTCTTGACTGCTGGTTCCATGAGTGTTGATAGTTGATCAAAGAAGAATGAAGTCCTTGACAACTTCAATCTTTTCTCCATTGATAAGAATGTTGTTTATTGGTTCAGTGGTGAGGATTTATATATACACAATTCCCATATATAATGCAGACCTTGGGAATACTGAGGGAACAGATACAAATAGAGACATAGACTTCTTTTTAAATTGACATAGAATTCACATACCTTAGCATACATTCTTTTAAACTATACAATCCAGTGATTTTTGTTGTATTTTCATCATTCCCAAAAGAAATCCCATAGCCATTAGCAGCCATGCCCCCATCCCTTGTTCTCATTGTTCGGTGCCGTCAAATCAATTCCAACTTATATCAACCCTTTGTACAACACAATGAAACACTGCCCAGTCCTACACAATCTCACAATTGTTGTTATGCTTGAGCCCATTGCTGCTGCCACTCTTCCAATCCATCTCAATGGAGAGGGGTGTCTTCCTTTTTTTGACCCTCCACTTTTGCAAGCTTGTTGTCCTTCTCCAGGGACTGGTCTCTCCTAATAACTTATCCAAAGTATGAGAGACAAAGTCTCATCATCCTAGCTCTAAGGAACATTCTGGCTGTACTTTTTCCAACACAGATTTGTTTATTCTTCTGGCACGCCATGGTACTTTTTGATGTTATTCTACAGTACCATCACTCAAATGCATCAATTCTTCTATGGTCTTCCCTCTTCATTGTCCAACTTTTTACGTGACTATGAAGTGATTGAAACTACCATTGCTGAATCAGGTGTGCCTTAGTCTGCAAACTCTTGAATACTTTCAAGAGGTCTTGTGCAGATTTGCTTAATGCAATAAATGCTTTGTTTGATTTCTCGACTCCTGCTTCCATGAGTGATGATTTGCAGTTCCAAACAAAATGAAGACTTTGATCATTTCAGTCTGTTCACCATTTATGAAGCCCCCATACCCTGGCAACCTCTAATCTAACTTCTAATCTACTTTCTATAGATTTGCTTGAAATACATGCTTTTGAAGTAACCTCCTCTTCAGGAAATAAGAGTTATTCTGTAAGAAAACTGCAAATAGTTGACCCCAGGGATGTCAATGTATTCAGTACTAGTCAGAAACATAGTAGAAGTAGAATATACTAGAGTAAAGGCAAGGTGTTTAAAAAATAAATAAATAATAACATAATTAAGGAAGCTGTGTGGTGGTGTTTTGTTTTCGAATACCCTTTGGAAATAATCCATTACAGTAAACAAAACAAAAAAGGGTTAGAGTATATTTTTAAAATACAAGGGGTGGAGGGCTACAAAAATTCATAGTAAAGGGGAATTAAAAGAGAATGCGCTTTTTACACAAACTTTTTTAAGCCCCCCTTGTACAGTTGTTGTTGTTGTTAAGTGCCATCGAGTCGGGTCTGACCCATAGCGACCCTGTACAGGGTTTCCGAGGGTGTACAGTTAGTTCCTCATAAAATCAGAGAAGCTTTGAAACTGATTTTTCATGCAGTTACCACCTTACCTGTCTTGAAAAGTTTCTTAATTTGTTTTCATATATAGATGAGAATGAATGTTCCAACCCGAATGCCTGTGGTTCTGCCTCCTGCTACAACACCCTGGGGAGTTACAAGTGTGCCTGCCCCTCGGGGTTCTCCTTTGACCAGTTCTCCAGTGCCTGCCATGATGTGAATGAATGTTCATCCTCCAAAAACCCATGCAATTATGGCTGTTCCAACACAGAAGGAGGTTACCTCTGTGGCTGCCCACCCGGGTATTACAGAGTGGGACAAGGGTAAGGCGGTCCATCAACTTCCCTGTGGGTAGAAATGCATGGTCCAAAAAAGTAGCCACTCCTTCCCTTACTGGGTTCTGGCTACCTGACTTCTAACCCAGCAGGCAAAGTTACAGGGTTTTAAAAGTGAAAAGTGTTGATCACAGGCCTTAGGGTACTGGAATGGGCACAAAGAAACCTGTGTACATGGACCAGAATTATTTCCTTTGTGGTTAGCATAAGACTTGACCTCTTATACAAACATGAGTTTTTTCCCCTTCATAAAAGGCCTGGGTTAATTTAATCATATTCCTCAAGACCAGAGGCACAGCAGATATTTAAAAGTGGGGCCCACATGTTGCCATAGATACCTGGGTTGTGTGAGAGGCAAGTTGAAATGGCCAAGTCCCAGTTTCCACTAGAGATTTTCTCAGATGCTGTTCCAGTAGTCTCAGAGGAAGGAGTTTGTTCCTCTCTTTGCCCATATGGCTTTTATATTGCAGAGACAGGATCTGCCTAGTTGGTTTGGTACCCCTCAGCACAAGACCCTGTCTCCACAAGGGTGGGTTCCCTCTGTCTACTCGCATTTTTACGAGTGTAGCCATCTCAGCTTCTGTCTGCATGGCTCAGGTACTGGGCACTTGTTTCTCTTTATCACACAGCCAACACACAATGCATACAAGAGGAGTACACAGAGCCAGAGTCCCTCCTACCAAAGGAGCAGTATGTGTGGCAGGCGCTGAAGTTCCAGGACCAGTATGTCCAACATTGCTAAAATTATTACTTTAACAAAAGGTTCAGTCTAGACAAGTCGTTTTCAGTCAATTTACTGGCTCTTTTGCCAACCAAATCATGGCTTCAGAAAATCTCAGTTACTCAAGCAGGGAGCAAACACAGGCTTCAAGTGTGAGAACCCATAGAACTTTTCTTGGCATTGTCTTTAGAAATTGATACTCTGACTTTATCTTCTTGACATAACTACTCCCTTTGTAACAGTTCAGTCAGACTGAAAACTTGAGAAACCCAGGACTTGCTCTCAGAATTTAGCTGTTTCAAAATAAGGAAATTTCACGTGGTGAGTGTGAAGAAAAAGAAGACAGAGAATATCTTTTTGGTTTTTTGTTTTTGTGCTTATGAGCTTAAAGCTTGCTTTTTTGGTTCCTTATTTCTGATAAATCTATGCTCCCTCACTAGAAAACTGTCGTCAAAGTCAGTGATAACGATTAATAATACTTTGCCTTCACCCTGAAAATAGGCACTGTGTCTCAGGAATGGGATTTAACAAAGGGCAATACCTATCAGTGGATGCAGAGGTCGACGAGGAAAATGCTCTGTCTCCAGAAGCATGCTATGAGTGTAAAATCAATGGTTACACAAAGAAAGAAAGTCGGCAGAGGAGAAGTGTCCACGAATCTTCACCAACAGCTGTGAGTCAATCTCCTTTTGTTTTGCTACAAAATTATCAATGGAGTCTTAAATACTGTACAGTAAACCCTATTGTCCTTTTGAGCTTCTTTAAGTAAAGTTAAAAACTATCTTGGAATTCAGAAGGTACTTTGATGGATACAACATGGAAAAGACTAGTTAAAATATTCCTCAGAACACAGGGAAGGACTACAGGGAGAAAGGATTTATGATTCCAATTTCAGATATTATTTTTTGCTAAGTGCCAGAGAGCAAAAATATGTCCTTCTAGAAAATGTTGTTAAGTACTGTCGAGTCATATCCAACTCATAGTGACCCTGGATAGGGTTTCGGAGGAGCAGCTGATGGATTTGAACCACAAGTCTTGCGGTTCAAACCAACATTGTGGTCGAGTGCTTATCATACAGCACTACACCAGGACTCTAGAAAATAGTTATTTTGAAATAATATAAGATGAAATTATTTGAATTTGCCTCATTTTCTTTTATGAATGTATGTAATAGTGCATGCAGTAGGCTGATTCTTATTTTCAGTATACAAGCCAACTATAGTCTCAAATTCTGTTACAATTAAGATAGCTTTTTTTCCTTAAAAAACCTGTCCTGACATATTTTATAAGGGATTGAAGAGCTGAGTTGCTTGCTCACTAATGTATTTTTTTTCAGCTAATGAATTTTAGAGTCCTGGTATGGTGCTGTAGGTTAAGTAATGTACTGCTAACCACAAGGTCAGTGGTTCAGACCTACCAGTTATTTCTTGGAAGCCCTATACAGGATTGCTGTGGGTCTTGAAGATGCTTAACATCAACAACAATATAGCATTGTAGCAGGGTAAACGGGATTTTTCCTTTGGACTGCCTAGTGTTGAGCCGGGTCTTTTCCCTTCCCCACTTTTTTGTCTGTATTACACTGGGCACCTTTAGTTTACCTCTCTTTGCCTGTAAAGTGGAAATACTACTACTTATCTCTAAAGTTGCCAGAAGGATTGACACATGTAAAGTATCAGGAAAGGTGTGTGGCATATATGCAGCATGTGTTCAGTGCAAGTCATCTCTGATAGCTAGAGAAGCTGAATTATTTCCCCAAATATCAAGGGGTGTTGTGTGCTGACCAGTTGGTTCTGACTCATAGCAGTTGGTGGGTTTGAACTGCCGACCTTGCAATTACCAGTCCAGTGTTAATCCTACATTGCCACACCAGGGCTCAAAATACCAAGGATAGCGTGAGCTAATTATTCACCACCCTCTTCAGAACTGTTGCCACCAACAAACCAAGTCAGCAATGAACTGACTGGGCAACTCACTTAACTTTTGTTGGCCTCAGTTTCCTTAGCTACACAATGAGACTTCTCTTGTCACACAGTGTACAGCTGCACAATAATAAATAAGCCATTGTTATATTTACATTAAGCTGGCAAGGGTACCTACACTGATGTTCAAAGATGATGAGTGAGACGGTCACCAAATACTCAGCAGTACCAATTCACTTATCTGTAAAACCTTCCCACTGTGATACTAGGAAACATGAATCTGTCTGAACAATAAGGACACTTTTTAGACCACTGTAGTCAAGTTTTTGCTTAACTGGGTCCCATTGTGGGGTTTTGTTTTGTTTTCTGCCTGTTTTACTTACATGGGGTCAATATGAGTCAGAATCAACCCAATGGCAGCAGGTTGGGTTTGGCTTCGTCTTACCTGAATAAGATTCTTAAACAGACCATCACTCTGACCAAGTCAGACAGGACTTATCAGGGCTCTGCCCCTCTTTTCCCAAAGTGAGATCAAATGGGAGCCCTGAGGACCTCAGCAGATCAGCCTCTCTGCAGCAGTATCTCATCTCTCTTTTGTGGGCATTTGGAGATTGAAGCTGTGCCTCAAAGATCAAAGAATCCTCTGGGTTTAATCCTGGCTGTTGTGCTAAAGTATCACTTCTTTTAACTCCAACAAAGATTACAATCTCTTCCTAAACTGTCTTTTTTTCTTTCTTTTTTTCATTATAAATATGACATCCCATAAATTCATCCAAAAAAAAAACAAAAAAACCCTTGACATATGAATGCTCTCTGTAGGCTCAGTCCTGTAATTTGAATTGCCTCATTAAGGCTGAGTGAGAAACCATAAAGATTTACAAGGCATTTTCTGTGGAATTGAAGTTTTCTCCCAGCTGACAGGAATTTACAATAGCCTCATTCACAGCCACCATTCCCTAAGGAGAGTGCAGAAAGCAAGAGCCAGCAACTACAGCTTGTCCCTGTGACTGGAGCCCAAACAGCACATTCCCCTTCCAGTCCTCTCCTTGTTCTGTATGGAGAAGCTTTTCCCAAATAATTCCTTGCTCTTTCTCCAGGTTGAACAGATCAGCCTAGAAAGTGTCGACATGGATAGCCCCGTCAAAATGAACTTCAGCCTCTCTGGACTCAACTCTAAGGAACACATCCTTGAACTCATGCCTGCCATCGAGCCTCTCAACAACCACATCCGCTATGTCATCTCCCAAGGGAATGATGATGGCATCTTCCGCATCCACCAAAGGAATGGGCTTAGCTACTTGCACACAGCTAAGAAAAGGCTGGTACCTGGCACATACACACTGGAAATCACTAGCAGCCCTCTGTACAAGAAGAAGGAGCTTAAGAAACTGGAAGACGGTAATGAGGATGACTACCTCCTAGGGGAGCTTGGGGAGGCTCTCAGAATGAGGCTGCAGATTCAGCTCTATTAGCTCTTTACAAACTGGCTTCCAGGCTCAACTCCCAGCCCAGCCAGCCTTTAGCCTTGTTTAAGAAGTCAGTGACTATTTTAAAGAGGAAAAAAAAAAAAAAAAAAAGACTTCTTACTCTCCTCCCTATCTCAGACTTCTGAATGTTGACCCTCACAGGGAGAGATCATTTAGACTCTAGTGTGACCAAAGATTTGAGTACAAAGGCAACCGTGGTTACTGTATTTTCTTTTTTTATATATAACTTCACTTTAAATATATTAAAAAAAAAAAACTAAATGTTCAAGAGATCAGCATATGGCACTAAATGCACAAAAATAATGTGAGCTTTTTTTTTTTTTTTTTTTTTTTTTCCTGTTAGCAGTCTGTAACACTTTGGGTATTTTGCTATAGTCGCTAATTAAAAAAAAATATAGATGTTTATTTATTTTTAATGCAGTAATATATGGAGAAATGAACAAACTATGTAAACAAAAAGGGAAACTCGCTTGTGTTTCTTTAGATTTATAAATTTGAGCTATTTCTTTTAGAGGTGCTTTTAAAACAAATTCAGTTGATTCAAGGGATATTTTCCTTTGGTTTTCTGCCAGTCATCCAACTGGTATACATCTGATTATTTTAAAGAAAGCCTCACAGAGCTGAATGGGTAATCAGTAATTTAAAAGACATGAATGTCATTAGATCCTTTATAAAGGAGATCAAAGCCAGAGCAGCTCACTGTGACATTATTTCACTTCACCAGACACACCAGGCAACGGAAGATGATGTACAACCACTGTAGCAAAATACCTTGACTGCTTGTGAGACCATTAGCGTTGCAGGCCAAACCGTACTGTATTTCCTTCTCCTAACCTCAAGGAACCACATGTGCTACCCATAACACCTCATTCTTACCCAGGGTGCTCTCCGTACTTGTGGTGCTGTAGGCAGCTGAAGAAATGCCATTCCTTTGAAAAGGAACACCTGGCGTTCTGTAGCGTTTGGTGCTGTCTTAGATTAATGGTGCATTTATTATGTTCAAGCTATTTCAGGATTGCCATATGTGCAAACAAATCATGCAGTGCAGCCAAGGAATATATGTTGTTGTTGTTGTTTAATCCTTTTTTTTTTTTTTTTTAGAATTTTCATTAATACTGTAGTTATGACACCATATGCCTCGTTTTATCCTAGCCTATTGTGTATGAAAAATGTTTGTTTAGTTTGCTTTAGTCATTTAAAGAGATACTGTACCAGTACATGCTAATAAGAGTATGTCTATGTGTTCTTCTCAAAGCACCTGTCCCTGGACCAGTGCCCAACCTCATACGTGAAATGGCCAAAGCACACGCAGACCCCCACTACTTCTCTCACTGACCAAAGATTAGTAACCAGTTATATCCAGTGTTTTGTTTTGTTTTGTTTTTTATGACTAAAAGAAACAGTGTAAATTTGTAATCAAGTGTTTGTGAGAAAAAAACATGGTTTTTGGTTTTGTTTTTTGTAGGTCTGTGTATCAAATATGACACTTTTCTTGCAATAAAGCTTATTTTGGGGTAGTTGCCTGGCTTCCAGTTTTATGGGACTACAATCCTGCTGTATCTGTTGGCAATATTAGGGACTTTGTTTATGGGGACGAAGGAATAGGCCAGATGGAGGCATTTTACCAAAAATTTACAGGAAAACAGGGTAAATCTATGCAATAAAATAAGCAGGAATATTTCATTGAAAAATACAATTTAAAGTTATATTCAAGTAGAAGGACTTATCCTACACAGGTTACAGTTCACTTCCTCATGGATTCTAAGCTCTCTGAGACCCATCACCCAAAGACAAAGAATTTCTTCACTTCATCCACACAAACTTTGAGTACCAGTGTTTTTAAGCACCGTGAGGAGGTATTTTTTTAGCATCTTTCTTCTCTAGGGTGTACATTTTCCTGAACCCAGTTTTTAAGCAAATGTGCCTGGAAGCTTGAAGGGTGGACCTGAACTCACACCTCTGTGACTCAACGTTCAGTCAAATTTCAGCCCAAGATAGAATAGGTCCTATAAGGTGAACTCTCACACCAGGAGGTACATACTCATTACAACAATCAGCCATAAGAGATCAAGAGGCAAGTATTTGCCCAGTGATTCATTTCTGAAGGAAGGAAGGGGGAGGAAATAAGGACAAAGGGAAATGGCAAACTGAGGAAGTGGACAGATTGCTTTTAACTTTATGGGGATTAAAATCAATGTCACAAAACATGTATGAATTGTGTTGAAAGAAAAAACAATTTACTCCATAAATGTTTACCAAATCACAATGATAATAAAAAAAAAAAAAAAAATTAAGTGCATAGGAGTTCTGGTGGAGTCCTGATGTTACACTGTAGGATAAACACACTACTGTTAACCAGAAAGTCAGCAGTTCAAGCCCAACAGCTGCTCCTCAGAAACCCTATACAAGACGGCTATGAGTCAGAACCAACTCAAGAGCACTTACCAACCATTGTCCAACCAAAGCTCTTTGTTGTTAAGTGCTCAGCTGCTAACTGAAAGGTACATAGTTGAAACCCACCAGTGGTTCCATGGGAGAGAAGACCTGGTGCTCTGCTCCCATAAAGATTGTTGTTGTTATTAAATGCTGTTGATTCCTTCTGACTCATAACAACTCTGTATAGAGTTTGTAAGCCCTATAAACTCTGTATAGGGTTGCTGAGGAGCGGAGCGGCTAGTGAGTTTGAACCGTTGACTTAAAATTTAAATGACCTTGCAGTCCAGTGCATAACAATTGTTGTTATGTGCCATTGAGTCGGTTCCGACTCATAGTTACCCTGTACCGGGTTTCCAAGGAGTGGCTGGTGAGTGTAAACTGCCAACCTTGTGGTCCAGTGCTTTATCCCACAGCGCCACTCCAGGACTCCATCCCATCAAGATTACAGCCTAGGAAACCCTGAAGGGGAAGTTCTACTCAGTCCTATATATAGGTTTACTCTGAGTCTCAATAAACTTGAAGGCACTCAACGACTTCACCACACATTGGGCCAAACCTCCAGACCAAATGATATCTTTACCAAAAAAATGATCCAAAACTGCTTGCTTCTTGCAGTATTACAAAAATTTGCTCAGTGGAGGAGTGAATAGATAGAATTCTGAACTCTCTTTTCATATACTGCTAAAAACAAGCACAGAAATGTTTCTGAGAGTCATAGAAGTTAATTTAATGCAAGGTTTAAGAATCTGTGTTCTTCAATTTTGCATTCAAGGATTAAGAAAATGAGGAAATAATGTGACTGATCTTTATGTTGTTCTTTGCCCATCAGAATGTAGTCGCATGGAATAACAAAAGTATTTGCCTAGGGGCATCCTTTAAAACCTAACATGCGTATTGAGTTTCATCTGGGATCTGTTATTGGTACAGTATGTGCACTGTAATATGAAGTTACCCCGAGCCAGATTTGACTCAATCTTTGAATGTTGAACAACAACACAGTTTAGTGTTAACCTGCTCTTGAAGATGTTTGTGAATCTTCACCAGTAAAGATAAGAGCATTTGGGAATTCACACAGAAGAGTCTGTACCTGAAGGAGGTCACGACTTTGAGATACTCCTTCCAGGAAGAAAGTTGCTGAGCACCTCTGGGCTCTCTTACAGTTCTCCCTACCGTGAGCACTGTAATAGAATCCCTTGCATAATCTGAGAGTGTAGTGCAAACCCAGACGTAAACTAAATCCAGTGAGTGTAAGTATTATTAAGCAAGTATGGTCTCCAGCTGACATTAATTCTTTCCATTTGGATTTAGATTTTGGAGCGGCTTTAAATTTTAATCCTACTTAGTACTATTTGAGGGAAACCCTCAAGAAGATGGACTGACCCAGTGGCTGCAACAAGGGGCTCAAGCATAGCAAGGACTGTGAAGATGGTACAGGATCAGTGTTTTGTCCTGTTGTACATAGAGTCACTATGAGTTGGATAAGAACTGGACAGCTAACCACAAGGTTGGCAGTTTAAGCCCACAAACTGCTCCTTGGAAACCTTATACAGGGTCACTATGAGTCAGAGCTGACTCGATCAGACATACCAACAACAGCATGAGTTGAAACCACTCAATGGCACCTGACAACAGAGCCTGACTTTGCTGTTCAGTTGCATTGGATGATAATTGGTCATGTTTCCACATGAACCTTAAAATCAAAGAGAGCAAAACACTAAATTTTACACTAGATTTGAACATCTGCCTTTTTCGTGACATAGGAGAACTACAAAGCAAGACTGTTCATACAACCTTTCCCTGGCAAATGCTGAACAACTTTATTTTGTTTTAAGTGCCTTCTTGATACACAGAATACTTGGGGTGGAATTTGGAAATATAACTAAAATTTCAAAGACAACTGTATCTGAGTCCTATAAGCCTTTAGGTTACTGTCATTGATGCTTCAATGGAAACAAGTTAATTCATATGTTAAAAACTGACACTCAGTCATGTTTGACATGCAAAATGGCCATTTATATAGTTCAACTTAATACTACAGGAATCTTCATGTTCCTCAAGAATAGTCTGGAAATTTGAAAGCCCCCCTTCTCTTCCAAAAGACATGGATTCCATTCATTCCTTTCCATGTCACTTGTGGCCCATTTGTACTCCTAATTTGTGATAGTCCCCAAGAGAATATACATAATTTATTGAAACAGCCAGTTTCGTTCATGCACCAAAGGCACTGGAAAGCATTTAAATCATATGTCTTTGGGACCTTGATGGAATTACTAAAACTGCTTAAATATAAAGAGAAATCCTTTGGGGAAAGTTGGGATATAGCACAATGTTTAAAAAATAAAAAGAAATTTTTTACTTCTGAAGAGATGGGGAAAGTTGGACATACGGTGCCTCCCAGCCAGGAAGCAAACTATGTTTGCAATTTCAACCCAGGGTCCTTTGCTATATCGTCTAACCCACTTTTGTTTTTTAGTAAGCCTGCATTTGCAAATCGTGATTTTCATGTTGCATAAGAAGTTCTCGTTCTGAACCTAATCTGTTTGGTGTAT